ATCAATTTCAGTAAGTCATTGAATCAATAATAATTCAGAAAAAAATATTTTGTCATATTTCAAAGAATATCTTGATGAAATGCGATATCCCTTTCTAAAAAAATTGGCACAAACTAAATATAAAACAATGCTGTGATAAAGTTTATTTTAACAATAATCAGCATTTTATTTGATTTTGAAACATTGAATACATTTTAATTAAAATTAGGAACCAGAACAACATAAGGATGTCTATTGCTGTTATTCAAGATGATTCTGAAAGTTCTAGAGAATATAATAAAGGAAGAAAAAATTTAGATGTTAATATTGGAAAGAAAAAGATAAAATTATCGTTGCTAGAAAACATACTTGTTTAGAAAACTCAGAATAATTGATTAAAAATTTTAGCCCTAACAAGCAAGATTAGTAATGTAATCAGTTACAAAATCAATTTGTTTATAATATATCACTATGAAAGTTTAGTCAGTATAATGGCAAATATTCTCATTCACAAAGCAATGAAAATAAGTTATACAAATGATTTTAAGGTGAAAATATGTTCTAGACTTGTTGAAGAACCTCTATAAAGATTAGGAAAGGAAAAGAGAAAGAACACTTCAATAATTGTTTTCCTGAATTAGAAACATACTAAATCTGAGTACCAATTATCCCCTTAAATAAATGATAAATCCAATTAAAATTTTGAAGTAGTATTGTGTAACTTTTCTTAAATGTTTTACCCTGGGGTAGATATTATGTCAAGTAATAGATGTATAAGTATGCATGCTTTTTTAAGACTTACATAGTTTACTGGTTAGGATTATTATTATTTGTAGATGAAGAAACAGGTTTTGAGAAGTCAAGTGTTTATGACACAGAATTAAACATTGTCTCAGCCTGTACAATTTGAGATCCTCCCACTTTAATACTTTGTAACATGACTCAAAATCCCTATTAAAAATGTTGGGAAACTTTATCAAATGATTCTAAATTTCATGTGTAAGATTAAATCTATGAGAATAGCCAGGATAATTCTATAAAAAATATAGCTTATTTAATGGTGTACTTGGCTTTTAAATGTTAAAGTACATTGTAAAATTATAGTAATTAATAGGGAGATATCAGTACAAGGAACAGAAGAGAAAACTTAACCATCAAACCTAAGTATCAGTGAAAACACTAGTATGTGATAAAAATGGTATTTTAAGTCAGTGCAAATTGATGAAATATTTTCTAAGTAGTGCTAGGACAATTATTTTTAACCATAATTACATTCCCAATAACATGCCATACTTCAGAACTTCAAAATATAATCCGGATTGGTTAAAGAATTAAATACAGCATATGAATCTACAAAAAAGCAAAAAAAATTAAGCAAATATTAATGTGATTCCACAACAAGAAGGTCTTTATAAAAATGAAATAAAAAATCATAAAAGAAAAATGAATGGATTTCAATAAATAGACATTTGAAGTTTTGTATATAAATCAGTACTAGAAACAAGGTAAGCCACAAATTGGGAAAGAATTTTCAATGTATTTGATCAATGACTGATGTTATTATGTGGACAATTCTTATATATTAATTATAATAAAGTAAGCAATATTAAAAGAAATCAAATCACTAGACAGATGATTAAAATAAATGCAAATGTCTAATAAACACTTATAAAATTATTCAGCCTCACTTTTAATCAGTGAACACTAAACTGATCATACAGCATTCTCTCCCCCCTCAAAAAAGGCTGATTGAATGGCTGATTTCTGACTGTTAATGAAGAAGTCTGTTAGTTTACTTTTTTAAGTAATGGCTTTATTGAGACATGATTCACGTCATAAAATTCCTCCTTTCATGGTATACAATCCACTTTTTAGTATGTTCACAGAGTTATACAACCATAACCACTATCTAATTTTAGAACATTTTCATTACCCCAAAGAGAAAAATTATGCCTATTATCATCATTCTCCATTACCTTCTCCCCCTTGGAAGCACTAATTTACTTTCTGTCTCATCAGGTTTGCCTATTCTGGACATTTCCTATAAATGGAATTATCCATTTTGGTCTTTGATATTGGCTTCTTTCAGCTGGCATGTTTTCAGGGTTCATCCATGTTGCATCATGAATCAAAGCTTCATTCATATTTATGGCCAAATGTTCCATTTTATGGATTTCCATGTTTTCTTTATCTGTTCATCAGTTGATGGACATTTGTTGTTTCCACTTTTTGGACTATTATTAATAATGCTGCTTTGCACATTCATGTACAAACATTTGTGTGGACGTTTGCTTTCAGTTCTCTTTGCTATATATCCAGGAGTGGAACTCCTAAGTTATGTAGTAGTTGTATGTTTAATATTTTGAGGAGCTGCTGAAATGTTTATCAAAGAGGTTGCACCTTTAACAATCTCAGCAGCAATGTAGGAGAGTGCCAATTTCTTCACATCCTTGCCAAAATTTGTTAATGTCTGTGTTCTTAATTTTAGTTACCCCAGGGGGTATAAAGTGATCTTTCATTATGGTTTTGATTTTTATTTTCCTAATGACTAATGATACTGAGCATCTTTTCATATACTTATTGACCATTTGTGTATCTTCTTTAGAGAGCTGTCTATTTAAATCCTGTGCCACTTTTTAATTTGGCTATTTGTCTTTTTATTGTTGACCTGTAAGCATTTGTCCTGGATACAGGTCCCTTATTAGGTACAAGTGTGCAAAAAATGTTCTCCCATTCTGTGGGCTGTATATATATTTTCTTGATGGTATCTTATGAAGCACAGAAGTTTTTAATTTTGGTGAAATCGAATCAATTTTTTTTTGGTCACCTGTGCTTTTGGTGTCATATCTAAGAAAGCATTGTCAAACTCGTAAAGATTTACTCTTAAGTTTTCTTCTAAATATTTTAGAGTTTTAGTGCTTACATTTACATCTGTGATATATCTTGAGTTAACTTTTATATATTGTGTGAATTAGGGGTACATTTTCATCCTTTTGTGTGTAGATTTCCTGTTGCTCAGCACCAGTTGTTAAAAAGACTGTTCTTTCCTCATTGAATTTGCTTGATATCCTTGTTTGTTGTTGTTGTTTAGTGACTTAACTGCACTAAGTTTATAAAGTCTATTTTTAGTTATGTGGAAGCGTTGGAAACTCATTAAGCTTAGTGGTCAATTAATGATGGGACAGAGATTACCTTACGTATCTTGAATTAATAAATCTCCCAGCCTTTGCCAAGTGGTTCTCTGTGTATTGGAAGGCATGCATCACTGCTCCAACAGGCAGTCTATAACCCTGCCTTAGCCTTCTGTTCCTGCCTGGGGAGAGCCTCAAGTTCTGGTAGAGGTGGGCGATTGGGGTGTTTCCAGCTTTTCCTTGAAATGTGCACAGTTCTGCATGTGTGCTTGGCATTCTAGATTCTCAAGAATATATCAGAGCTTTACAGCACTGCTTATGGAAGTATCATTCCCCAGATATTCCTTTTGAGATTTTTAGTCAGCCTCTTATTTAGCACTGACTAGTACTCCACCTCAGGCTGCTTTGATGTTGAATAATTGCCACTGATTATTTTCAACAAATGCTCTAGGAATATGGCTGTTCACACAGGGCAAGCTTTGAGTTTGATCAAATGAAGGCAAACCCTAAGAATGGAGTTTTTCAGGGAGCTTCCAAATGGCAATATTTCTCTGGGAATGGGACTTTTGGGGATCTCCAAACCCATCTGTTTCTTCCAGTGGCTACTAGGTTGCTAATTTTTATAGCCATCATAGTTGTGAGGCTATTGGTTTTCAAGCATGCTATGGACCTGGGAAGAGAGGGATAGGAATAGAGGAAATTTAAATGACACAAAGCTTACTGTTCATACTGAGATTCAGTCATTTTTCTTGATAAGTTCTCCTTGGATTATTGCAAGTCTTTGGTTAAATTTCCAAGATTCTGAAAAAGTTGATTTTGATGATTTTTGCCAGTGGTCTCATTTCTTCTGTGGCAGAGCAGATTTTTCAGAAGTCCTTTTCCACCATTCCCAACATGCTTCTCTTAATTTACTTTTAATATAAATTATTCTATTCTAAGTTTAAATTGTTTTAAGCTTTATTTACAGTGTGGTTTAGAACATGCTAGAAATTGCATAATTTACAACTACTTAAGCTTATTAAAATTATGAGAAGCTTCAAATGAAAACTTAAAAATTTCCAAAATGGTACATACTTTTAGAGTTCTTTTTGAGCTAAATCACCAAAACATATTTGACGTCTGTCTTAATAGGAAAGGAGTTTGAAGGACCTGTTTGAAGAGAATGAGAATTGTGACAACACAGATGGACCTAAAGGGCATTATGCTCAGTGAAATAAGTCAGAGAGAGAAAGGCAAATACTGTATGATATCACTTGTATGTGGAATCTAAAAAAAACAACAACAACAACAAATGAACAAGCACGACAATACAGAAACAGACCCATAGATACAGAGAACAAATAAGTGGTTGTCAGAGGGGAGGAGAGTGGGGGAATGAAAGGAAACAAAAGGTAACTAACTATGTGAAATAATGTGTGTGTGTGTACATCACATTGTACACCTTAAATATATATAATTTTTTGTCAATTGCACCTCAGTAAAGCTGAAAAAAGGAAAAAAAAAGGAATAAGAAGACTTTAAGTATTATTTAGATTGGGACAGCAAAACACAAAGTTCTTTTGACTTCTCTATTTAAGAATATGACAGTGTTGAAGGGAATATATATGATATGAGAGAAGATAGGAAAAATTGTGAAGAAAACAAAGAAGAAAATGAGGAGGGAAGTGCCATGGTTGGAGATTGGAGCCTGTGGAAAGAGGCAAGTGGGAAATTCCTTAGGGCAGATGGTTAAATATCTTTTAAGAAAAGGGATTTCTAAAAATCAAGTTTGTTCTATATGCATACCCAAGCTCTCAATTAAGTCATTACCAAAAAAATTACATATACAAAACATAAAATTAAAAAAAAAAAAGGAAAAGTGAGAGCCAGCACGTATAAACTTTTTTTTGACCCAAAAGTTATTTATTAAACTTACAATAAAATATTTTTCAATGCATTAAAAAATTGCAAAATAATTGATGCATTTTTCAATAAAGATACCAGATTTAATATTTACTGACAAGATAAAGATATGTTTAATGACTTGTTCTATTTCAAGGTCACCTTATTGAGCGATACATCATGAAATCAGTAGTTGTACATGTAGGAAATTTACCAATGGAGCTTTCTTCCACGGGTGTGTATATTTTAATTTGTCTCATGTGGGTATCTCTTCCGTTCTGATGATTGGCTAGAACAGCAATCTGTATCATGAATGTACGAGTTGGCTTCTTATGATTATCAGTTAAGGGAACGTGAATCCAGCCACTTGGTTGCACCAATTCAAGTTGCCGGATTTCTTGAAGATTATGAAAATTATTTCCTACTCTGACTGAGATCTTGCTTGGAGTATAGCTGTCATCAGATTTGTAGTCCGCATAAATACATAATGTCTTCACTGTTGTTTTTCTTCTGAATTGGATGTTCACTAAATGAGGCTGGGAGCCATCTGACTGCCAGTAAGTTTCTAGATTGTCATCTCGTAATTGATCCACTCCAAATCCTGGTTTGCAAGATGAGAGAGCACATATAAACTTCTGATATTCTCTGGAGGGTGTATTCAACTCTCTGTCCTGCTGTAGCACTGTCTTCCAGTCTTATCATAAAACTGGATCACCAGATCACATGGACAGTTTGTATACTCTCTCGGGAGGATGAGATGTTTCTACAGTGTATTTTGGAACCCCATCAGTAGAGACCTCTGATTCATTGAGGATTCCAGAGAATGCCAACTTGAAACCTAAAAACAATTACGATAAATTTGAGGAACTTCAGTATTAATTTAGCATTGAATCCCATGACCTGGATGCTACTTCCCGAAAAATTTTGGCAAAGAATGCTTATAGTATTATCCTTGTGGTTGGAAACTTCTCAACAAAGCAACACACATAGATGAAAGCAATGCTTTGATGGACTTTTTGAGAAGGATTCAGTTTCATCTCCATCTATGATTACATGCCCAGAATCATATAAACAAAGACTTCACAATTTAGCTGATGTTCCAAGATTGAAATTAGTTGCCTTGGTTCTCCTTGTTGAATCCCAGAAGATGGGCTGAATTCAGGAAGCACTGTGCCTTTGCACTGCTGAAGCGTGCTTTCAGTGTGTCCAGCAAAATGGTCCCAGAACACCAGCAGAGCCACAGAGAGCTGGAAAACACTTTGGGACTAGTAATGAGAACCTTTAATGATTCCTTTCTAAAGTCCTCTTTAAAATCCTCTCTAAAATCCATTTTCTGATCCTTACTGTCAAGAAGAATAATGGGTAATGCATCTATACCTATATTTTGTGGAATATAAATTTTTCTCCCTTTTATTTAGATATAAAACAACCAAGTTTTAGCGCAGGTATTTTTTTGTAGCTATGGCACTTAACAATTTTTTCACCATCATTTGAATCAGTTTGACTTCCCAGTGAGTGATGTACAGCAGACAAATACTTCACTATACCTGAGAGTGAAATTAAATCGACTAGCCACACACTGCTAGCTCTAAACTTGGAATTCTTGTTGACAATAAAAGATTACAAAATATCTTGCTTCAGAGCCTATGGTAAATAATTTCAGATATAATCATTTTATGCATTGTCCCCCTTGAGGCTCTGAAATATTCGCAGTATCTCTCCACACAGTCTACACTAGGACACAAGCACACTCACTCACTTGCTCATCTAAGTTAATATTTTACTCTTGTTTCTTTAGTCTAAATGCCCTTCCCCTAAATTTCAAGTCTCATCCCTTAAATCTGGGCTCTACTGCTCATTCTTCCATACACTCTTTTCCTCATTCTCCTTGTACTTTTCTCAGAATACTGCTTGCACCTCTGTTTGGCTTAATTTCCGTCAACAAGGTATTTGTTGTCTGTTGGAGGCAGATGCAAAGCTCCTTGTAAGCAGATTCTCTCTCATTTATCTACTTTTCTCTGCAGCTAGCTTTGAAATATTTGGTGATCTGAATAGAAAAAGGAGCCCAAAATTCAGACTTCCATGGAAAACTAGTGGAGAAAAATATCCAGTTACTCTGCATTTTTTGTATTTTGTATTAGGAGTTTATGGAGAAAACTCCTAGAAAAATCAGACAGGGAAAAACACTACACTGAGGCCTATGCCGTAGTGCTTAAATTTCATACGTAGGCTCTAACTGTGTGGAAATTTGCTACAGTCTCTGAGTAGCAAAGACTTCCACAATGTGCACAAAGGTTTTGACTAATTGGACTGAAATGACAGGTTACTTTAATTGAACAAGTTAGATATCATTTTGAGCTACACTCTTATTTGGTGTCTAGAGAGCCAATAACAAAGGGAATTGACTGAACTTTTCAACTTTTCACTATTTATTTAGACACTGTATAGACGTAGCCCAAAGGAAATCTCTCCCAAAATACCTCAAAGAATTTTTTCTTCAACTGCATAAGATCATGAGAAAATAAAATCCCTCTGTTCTCAAATGACACTTTAAAGTTATGAGTATAATGTGGGGAAATCAGTTCAGCCATGGATTATCAAAACAACAGAAATATAAAACAGGTATCAATTTATAATATTTGCTGAAATAAATTGATTCAAACTGTCAGCTAGGTTGTTTGACACTGAAAATAAAATACCAAACATACTAAAGTAGAAACTTAGCAATGAAAAGCCTGACCCTCCCTTTTTATGATATTATCTTACTGTGAATTGAACTGATTGATAAATTAAGTTCAATTTGGCTCATTTTGCATGAATTCAGTCCTGGGTCAAAAGAATTTTTAAAGTTTTCTCACACCTTTTCTACTGGCCCATATTTTCATCCTTTGTAGAAACCATTCTGCAGTTATACCGAATTGATTCTACTGAGCTCCATAGCAATGGCTTTCTATCACTCTGTTCCCTTTGAAGAGAGCGGTTTTTCTGACATGATCTGGGTCTTGGGTGAGATGAGCGCATCTCTTCTTTTGTTGGTTGTCAGAAAGTCTCATTTGTGTGACTAGTTTAATACCAAAATTAAAAACTTAAGTAGTAAATGGACTGGGGGAGATTCAGGTGCAACAAGTTAAAAAGAAAAACAGTAGGCTTTAAGAGCGTATGCATGAAAGAGCAATGTGCCAGGATGGAGTTGTGTACCTCGATGGATGACTGCCATCAAAAAGCACGCATCCATTGAATGCTGCCATTGTATGTCGGCCCAAGCTGTGTTGAAACACTTTCTGCTGAAGTGTTCTGCCCAGGGTGGTGACCTGTGGTCCCCTAGGTTCTAAGCTGTCCTATGGATAGAAATACATTTCCTGTTTCCCATATCCCCCGTCTCCCCACCCATATATCAGGGATTGGTTTGAAAGAATGAAACAGAGACCTTACAGATGCTTAAAGACCAGAAATTCTATCAAGGGGAAAAAGAAATGGAAAAGAGAAGAAAGAGAATAAATCCCCAAATCCCTGCACATGCAAAGCTTTCTTATTTTTTTTTTTCACACTTCTAAAGTGCCCATTCAAAACCACATGAGTAAAAACGAAGTTGTGTGTTTTTCACATCCTTCAGAACAGGCTAAGGGATGAAAATGAGGGTGAGTTCCCTATAGTCAAACATGCCCAGAAGTAGCAAACTTTGACTTAGCCACAAGCCAAATAAACTGCTCCCGAATAATTGGGTCTTGGTTTAAATCCATAGAGATGCTCTTTTCATGTATGTGAGGTGGACTTTTGATTTCATCTCTGGGACAAAGTTTAAAGTTATTCTGTGACTCTGGCCTAGAAAATGAAGAAAACCCTTGTAACGGGATGGCTCATGTAGGCTTATTATGAGTGTGTGTTTAACTCCCTCATGTGAATTATATTTTGAATCATTACCACTCAAGAGTCACAAGGTTTCATCTACTTAAGCTCAAGATACCCGTGTGGAAAAGCATTCTAAACTCAACTCGCTGGGCAAATACCACTTTAATACTTGAGTACTTAAATACAAACATTATAACAGAAATTAGAGCTTTCTGGTTTTCTTGACTTGTATCACATTAAATTAACAGACACAGTAACAGACCTACATTACATATCAAAAGAATAACTTTTTAGAATTCATATCCGAGGGAAAGAGACAAAATTTAGTTTTTATGTCTTTTTACAATGGGTAGAAAGGTCCGTGAGACAGAAGGATAAGATGAGCTCTCATCCTAGCATATGATATAAAATGGATCTGAAGAAGTAAAAACATAGATGCTTAATGAACACTGAAAGCATGAGTGACACCAGGACTCACATCTAATTTATCTCTTTCTTTTCCCTGGACTTAGTATATTGGACTGATAAACTTACCTCAAGATGGATAGTTCATAGATAATTTCATCCCAAATCCCACCATTACAAATGGATTTCAAGCCTTTAAACTTTGCACTGTCCCCTGAACTTGAAATTTTTCAATCCTACTTTTGTCAGAGTGATAAATCTTTCTGGATGTATCTGGAAGGAAATTTGCTTTAAAATTTAAAATTTGCTTTAATCCCCTGTGGTCTGCAATAAGGTTCTGAAAGGGAAATACCAATATACCAGGTCAATACAGGAATGAAAATTTTTAAAGTACCAAATCCCAGCATGCATGTTCATAGTGAAAACCTAAATGACCAAACCAGGACTATGTTTTTTTTCTAGCTCAAACAAGCTCCAGTAATGAAACATCTAAAGCTATATAATAAAAATGATACTTTGTTATGGAAAGAGAATGGCTGTGGAAGTTTATTATTCTGTAGAATTTTATCTTCAGTAATATTTGTCTACATTTGGCCATGGAGCATATGAATTTAACCATTTGTTAAGAAGAGTGGAGGTTGTCTAATTTGAGGCAAATGCAAACGTAGCAATAATATTAGTAAGGGGAGTTTATTGTGCAAAGTATATTTTGAAAAATATACAGATAACTGCTAAGGTCATTGGAGAATTAATAAATTCCAACCCTAAATGTGCATGGGATGGTCTTTTACATGAATGTGTAATGCTCTTAATTTAATAGCCTGACATCAGCAATGGAAATAACAGTGTTTATTCTGCTATAGGGATGTAGTAAAGCCTAACCACAGAGGCAGTATTCACAGTTTTAGAAAGGATAAAATAAGAGATCAACACCAGTTTTGTCTTTTTAGTGGCAGGGATTTTGCTTCTGATAAAAAATAGTTCCCAGTTTTCATAAGAGAATTCCTTAATTAATAATTTCTTGCTAAAACAGATACTTATAAATGTTTATATTATATATGTAAAAAATATGTATACATATATAAAGCATTGTAATAGTGGAATACCTTCTTAAACAGTCTTATCTTTCCATCTTCTTTGTTCCTTTGTGTCAGAAACTAGGAGTATCCTGTTAGGTATGTCACTATTAGTTCTAGAAGTAATAACATTGTCCTTATTCACTACAGTAAGACCTCTGTGGTAACAGTGCTAATCTTAACCACTGACCAGTATAAGAATGCCACCCTCTATCTAGGGCCATACCTTCTATCCAAGTATATATACGATCAAACAGCAATAACCAACAAAAGATCAGTATAATAACGACCCAAGCTGTATTTCTATGGCAGAATCATTTTTTGTAACTTTGAAAGTTCAGTTATCCTTTTTGGTTAAAATTATGCAGCCCTTAAATAACTCCGAGTAAATGGATTATGTGCCATTAAGAGGTTTCTTGAAAGTTTTCATTAGCTACGAAATAAAATAGCTTTAAGCTTTAGAATGTTCTACTCAGTTGGAGACTCTCATGTCTTTCTGATATTCTTGTGACAATTTCTATTCTAAGTGTCAAAAACAACTCTGCTATCTGGAACAAGTCGTGTAGTATTCTCTCCTTTTAATATTCTAATCGTGAGGTGTGAAGTGAAATGGTTGCACAGTGTAATGGTGGTAAAGAAGTGGAGTGTCAATGAGACGGGGAAGGTGACAGACTCGGAATAGGTCCCTGAGGTGCTCTCCAAGTGCACTGGATAAAGATTCCCTTGGGAAAATTTTCTCATTAGTTCTCAGACACAGTTCAGTAATTCAATAGCGGGAGGTTACCATTAGTCACAAGACCAAAACATGTTACTTTCCATGCTTTAGTTCCTTTATTTGTATATGTCATTTTCAGACTGAAAATTATGAGCCCTACTCTCTGCAAAGGCAGTCAGCGAGTTGTTTACATACTGAAGTATGAACCATGACAAGCAGATTCTGTAGAGTTTTCTTTTAATTGTTGATGTATGAAGCAATTCAAAGGGAAATAGACATTTTAAA